CGATAAACTTAGAATTTAAAAGTGAATAAACGAAATTAAGAGCAAAGAGGTTCTTATTCCGAATCTGCGTAGAACTGGTACAAAAAGAGTAGCCGAAAAGATTAAGAACGAAAAATCCTAATTGAGACGCAGCTCGCTAACAGAAAACGGAAATATTCCTAAATGCTAATTTTGGTGGTGAGAGCTCTAAAAATCGTGTCCCAGCTTCTGTCCTATGCTTCCTCCTTATATACTCCTCCTTAGGCGGTTTTAGTCTTTCCATTTCGCTCGAAACCGAATATATCGGGAACTTTCCATTTCTGTCGATCCTTCCTTTTCTTCCGCGGAAATCTTCCATTTATCTTCAAACTTGCCTTTTGTCTTCTATCTGCGAGTAAACCATCAAAACGTTATCGTATCTTTGGGTTTGATTCCGTTAATGTCGCGAGATGGGTTTTTATCGTGTTTTAGGACCTTTCGGGCCGTTTTACAATAAAAACCATTTTACGACTTTAACGAGACCGTTTTCCGATCCGATGCCGTTTTTACGATCTTCTCGACGTTTTTATTAAAAACGCGTTTTTAATAATCTTAACGAAAAATCTCGGATAAATCGTATAGTTTAGGCGATGTTCGGTGTCTTGCTTAACCGTTACCGTTTTATACGATTTCTTCGAGTTCTTTTCGGGAAAACGGAATTTTAAGGTTTTTATCGTAGAATTCAAACGATAAGTCGGATCGAGACGAAACGAGAGACATTTCGGCCGTGGTTCAGAATGTGACCGTGTCGAAGGACGTAAGGTTCGAATCGGGGCCGCGGGAGATCCGGGAGGTCTCTAGTTCGCCTGCTGGCGAACTAAGCCGGGCCGGCTTAGTTCGCCAGCAGGCGAACTAGCCGAGGGATTCTTAGTTCGCCTGCTGGCGAACTAAGCCAGCTTGGCTTAGTTCACCAGCAGGCAAACTAGTTGGAAGCTTCTAGTTCGCCAGCAGGCGAACTAGTTGGTGAGCCTATAGTTCGCCTGCTGGCGAACTAAGCCAGCTTGGCTTAGTTCGCCAGCAGGAGAACTAGTTGCGACTAGTTCGCGCTTCGTGGCTGTTTCGGTCTTTCGCAGTTTTGTAAAACGATTTCTCGAGTTTTATAAAACGGCTTTTCTAGTTTTATAAAACGATCTTCGAGTTTTATAAAAAGATCTTCGAGTTTTATAAAACGGCTTCTCGAGTTTTGTAAAACGATCTTCGAGTTTTACAAAACGGCTTCTTGAGTTTTATAAAACGATCTTCGAGTTTTATAAAACGATCTTTGAGTTTTATAAAACGGCTTCTTGAGTTTTATAAAACGATTTTCGATTTTTATAAAACGGCTTCTCGAGTCTTATAAAACGATCTTCGAGTTTTATAAAACGATCTTCGAGTTTTATAAAACGATCTTCGAGTTTTATAAAACGGCTTCTCGAGTTTTATAAAACGATCTACGAGTTTTATAAAACGGCTTCTTGTTTTATAAAACGACTTCTTGGGTTTTATAAAACTATTCCTTTTATATTTTTGTGGGGAATTTTGGCTATCGATTCCGTCGTACCGATTTTGACCCCAACAATAAACTAAAGCTGATGTAAGCTACCTGCACCATACCACCAGGTACAATGACAGATCCAGAAAATAGAAACCCAGTAATGACCTGCCATATAAGTAGTGTGAAAGTTAAATAATGCTCTCACAGCTTGATCATTCTGAGTGCCAACAGTAATTTTTTCTAAGCTCTTGGAAGCAAATGCCAACGAAAACAAAATAAAATAAGAGACACTACTTGCACAAATCGACTCATAACAGAAACATTGTAGAGGACGCATCATAATGGAGAGCCAAACTTTTCCTATTTGGTCATGTCTCATATTTCTTGGGCTTAGCTTGTGCGAAAGGCTCCATAAAAACCAAATGGTCATAACAAAAAAGAAACATAGAATGAAAAATTGATCAGTGTACTATGTAAAAGCAATATGGCCATGATTTAATGAATCAGCTTAAACAAACCTGGTGAAAAGTTTGACAAATATGTAAATTGGGAGAAGGGAGTAGTATATATCAGGTGAGGGTTGGGAATTTCAAGACTCAATAGGTCGCTGCCATGGGAGAGTTCCAGCGAGTAAGAGCCTTCAAGATTTTGGGTGGTGGAGAAGGTGCGTTATGGAGGATATCTGAAACGATCGGAGTTTAGGGTTTGCTCTTGAATTAAAAGAGGAATAAACGCCACATTCTCTAATGCAATTCAGATAGTACATCTGATAGTACACAGAGCCAAATCAGTTGGAATCATAACATATCTCTCTTTGTATACAGATGAAAGTGCAGGCCCAAACTTACAAATGATCAACGAAGGAAGGTGTGAGTGTCTGTCGAAGGATGCCAACTGAAGTTCAGCTTCGCCTCCCTCCAAGTCTAGGAAAACATCGTTGAAGATTAGAGAGGCCAGAGCCATCGCCGTATGTTTTGACGTTTTCTTTGACATTGATACATGTGATTTCTTTTGGCGGCTCTGTGGAGTGGTGGGAATCAAAAATAAGATAGACATATAGAGGGTGAATGTACGGGATGTAAAGGGGTAGCATAAAAGAAGTAAAAACCAGAGAAAAATATATGGGGAAAGATAAGGGATGTGAAGAGCCGGTCCACCGGCGACTTGAAACGTGCGGTGAGGTTAGGGTGTCGCAATAGACAAAGAGACAGGAGGACATCCTACATGTGGGTTGAGTATGGGCTTTTTTTTTTTTTTTTTTTTTTGAACACAGACATACTTATATTAAGATGTCCACACCATCTAAACTATGGTGGGGAAGAGAGGGTAGCATTACAAAGAGCAGCTTTTGCAAGCTGGTCTGCAGCAGAATTAAGAAGCCTTGCAATAAACTTAAAGGAAACAACAGAGAAATATGAGGATAGATATTCGATATCCTGGACGATTCCGAAGAGATCAGCCGGAGGAAGCTTCGAAGAGATTGCTGCTAAGAGCAATTGGCAATCTGTGTTGAAACAGATGCTGTGATAGCCACGAGCCAGGGCTTTGGTGATGGTCCAGCGTAGCGCTAGAGCCTCTGCAGTGAGCGAGGAGGAGACATGTCTTTCAACGCAGGAATCCTGAAAAATGACATGTCCATCTTTGTTAAGGAATAAGCAACCAAAAGCTGCAAGTTGGTTTTGGTTTAAATGATGTAGCATTTAAACAGACGTGGCAAGTTATAAGTGCTATGAATTAAAGTGTCAACATGGATAGATTGAGAGCTGTTTATATCGGCCTTTTAATATTGTAAGATTTAGTTTTCATCTTATATTTGTCCTAATTTCTTTTTTTGTATAAAGGAAAGAATGTTATTCCATTGATGGATTAAAAAGTTATCATGGCAGCTAACGTTTTCCTCGAAGGGTTGGACTCTCAATCGTTCAATGTTTCAGTAAAAGTCCAAATAGTACAAAAATGAACTGTGCAGAACGGAATGTTCGGTTACGATTGTGAAATGATACTAATTAATGTAAATGTGAGTATTATTAAAATATCTTACTCAAGTAACATATGTTTTATATTATATATTACTACTAATTTCGTAATCATGTGTTCATATAGGGCCATATGATTCAAGCAACTCTGAAGAATGCTTGATGAGTAAATTCTATTGTGTGGTTAATAAAGATTTTTTTATTAGACTATCTAATTTTGATGTAGTGCATTCTAATGGCATTACTAGGGTAACTCGTCATAAATATCAAATAATTTTTACTGCCACTACTCGTGTTGAGTTTATATTTCCCAAAGAGACAGCCTAAATATTCTCAATCGTAAAATACAAAGAGTTAAATAAGGGATATATTCATCCAAATATTTCATTTGGTTAAAACTTTTAATACTTTTGTTCATTTTATTATGTTACAATTGAAAAAATTGCATACTTATTGTTTTTCAACTTTGGACATATTAGGTTCTCTAATATCCGTTGGAAATCTAGAGTGGAGATTTAACCAAGCCATTGGAACTAAATATCTCAAACCTATCACGTTCTTTAAATTGCTTAATAATTAAATAAATATGATAACTAAAACAATATTATTGTTCAATCCTTAGTTTAACCTTAATCGAGTGAGTTGTGTTCCATATGGCAGAACATTTGAATACATTCTGGTCTTCTTATGCGGATGACATACTCATCATTGTGTTACGATACTGGAAGATAAAAGTTATGGACAGTTTGATAAATATATATCATATATATTTCCCGTATTTTATATAATATATATATATATATATTAACTTTATAATTCAATTGTTCATATTTATATACAATATATATGGGGTATAGTCAGATTACAAATATTCCAGGATGCTCTAAGATAATGTGTAATCCATTAATTGAACCAGCTACAACGTTGAAGACCATGTTGGTATTTATATTTTGTATATATAGTATTATTTACACAATAATATGTTGACGTATTGTTATTGTTTGACAGGATCAAAGAAAAGCAAATGAAAGCAGTTTGAGATTATATTGTCCACAATCTATGTGTTTTATTCCAGTTTAATTTGGTTACATTTTCTCTTATTCATAAATTTCCAAATATTTATTTATTATCATTTGAAAAGTGCCATGAAATTAATGTGAATATCTAATTATATAAAGTTTGGTTTTTAAAATCGCTAATTAACAAAATGATAACACATGAAAATTATATATTTAACATTATGACATGTGTTAAATAACAATTTTCCATAGGATTTTTGTAGCGTTTTTGTAAACGCTCTGACAACTGTAGCTATAATAGACCCCTCTCTATAGCATTTTTCGTGTGTTATAATTAGAGATATTAGACCACCTCCATCAATAGGTTTAGGAAGGGGTTCTACAGAAATAAAGAGAAAAAAATAAATTAAAGATAGGTTTATTCCACAGAACCGTTGCTTTAATAGGAGAGTTTAGAGCACCCGCAGTGTATAGTCTCAGATTGAATCTCTGTATTACAAAATATGTTAAAAAATGGAAAACAAGAAAGAGGTGGAGAAAAGGATGAGAGAGAGGAAAAAAAGTCCCTCTGCAAAGGTACTCTTTGTTCTACAGATGTCACAACATCACTAGACAACTTTTATTTAAAATTTAAAATAATTCAATAACTAATTTGTATAAAAAGTAGTAATATTATAGACTTGAGAAGCGTATACACTTTCTTAACTGATGATGATGCTCATAGAGAAGGTAAAAACCCATACGTGGCAGCAGCTTATTGGACGGTTTCTTTTACACTGAAAGGGGAAAAATGTCGGATTCTTTTTCATCGTCTCTTCTCTCTCCCTTCGTCGGTTCTCTCTCTCTCTCTCTCTCTCTCTCTCTCTCTCTCTCTCTCTCTCTCTCTCTCTCAGGCCTCGATTGGTATAGCAGATGATAAAGCAGTAGCAATATGTTGTAGAAGAAGTATGCTACAGAAGTTGTATGCTTTCATTTTAACTTTTAATAAAGTGATTGACAGAGCAGTAGCAATATACAATTTTAAAATTAGAATAATAGTTAATATAATAATATATTTATAAAATAATATTTATATACTTATAATATATTAATAATATATGATATTAAAAATAATAAATCTTATTCATTATATAAATTATATTATAGTTTATATGTGAAATATTATTATTTACAAAATTTAAATTTTATTTTTAAAATATTAAATTAATTAATTATATATAATTTATATATAAATCATCATTATTTATTTATTGGTGGAACAATGAATGATTCATTATAAAATTATCATAAAATTTAATATATGTTATGTAATTCATTTATTAGTTTCTAAATAATATATATGTTTATATCTATAATATATATTATGTTATGTTTGCTATTAAAATAATGAACAATGGGTGTAATTATGTAAATTCTTTATATTTTAAAAGTGAAATTTTGTTATTTTAAAATAATGAAATATAATTTTTATTTTTATTTTTCAAAATATAAACTTATTTTTTTATTATAAAAATATTTTAGTATTATTAAATAAAAGTAAATTAATTCTATATAATTATTTTTTAAGTTTTATATATTCCAGCTGCAAATATTCTTCCAAAAGCTCCATATTAGAACATTGAACACAGAGCATTTGGAAAACATTAACATTTGGTAAATGTTTTCCTAAATGTTTTTTTGACAAATGTTGATTGGATAATAGATAGCATAATGCTTAATGTTTATGCTAATGCTCTACCAATGAACCCCTCAGCCTTCTTCTGCTAACAAACGCTCTTCTTCATCTCCATAATCGATTTATCTCTCCAAAGAAGAAGAATCCGAACTTGTTTTTAAGTCTCAACCTCCCTTATCTCCTCCACATGTCGGAAAACAATGATTTTATTTTGCGGGGAAGGATGGTGAAGTTCTCAGGTATCTATTTCTTCTTCTTCTAGCTATCCCTTTCTCTTATTAGGTATTGAAAGAGTGTTGAAACCATATCCAATTCGAGAAATTTTTATTTTTATTTTATTTGAAAGTGTGCTTAATGTTCTCAGCAGAACATAAAGTTTTGAACTTTATTGCCCTTTATGATGGATCCTGATAACTAAGAGAATTTATCTATTGCCTGCTCTTGAATACAAAAAGGTATATGGCTGTTAGATTTCATCATTATTTGGTGGATGAACACAAGTTTTATGTTGTCTATAGATGTGAAGGGGATTTGATTCTTTATGTCAAGTAAGAGTTAGTTAGTAGGGGTTATTAGTTGTAGTATTTTAATGAATTTAGGATTCTTTCTTGGATTTAGAATTTTTGTTAAATTCATTGATTTTAAAATCAAATAAAGTAGATTTCAGAATCAATACATTGATTTCAAAATCAAAATAACTAGATTATCATAAATCAATCCAATGGATTTGCAATAAGTTGGGTTTAAATATAAAAACTGCAAGATGTGTTTTTCTTGTTCTTGTTGTGATTCTCCCATTGACATTTTTACGGGTGTCAAATTTTTGTTTCTTGTGTTAATTTTCTAACATATAATAGAGATTATATATACATTATGATGGACCATTACAATAGAAACTAAAAAAAACTATTATTTTAGTTAGAAAATGTAGAAATTGGACAACTGGAAATTAAAAAAAAAAGTAGAAAACTTTCGAAAATGTGAGTGCTTATGTTTTTCTAATGGAATTTGTTTCAAGACTACCGTTTAACAAAAGTCTTGTTAGTGCTTTTCATAATTAACGTATGCAATATACATACGAAAATTGGTGCCAAAGAAATATTAGGAAAACCAATAATATAGATGTATCAAAATAACAAGGTTTAAGATGGTGTTATTCAATCATGTATTTTAAAAGATTTTAAATCTAAACACAATCCACTGTTATTCAATTGATGATTCTAAATTCTATTTTAAATTCAGTGTTATTCAATCTATGATTAAATTTCAAATTTTAAAATCTGGTGTTATTCAACTTTTTTAAGGATTTTAAAATTCTTTGTAATATAAGTAGATTTCAAATCATCAGTGATGGATTCTAATGAATAAATGTTTAAACTCAAAATCCAAAGAGTATTGTAGAGATTTTAGAATCCATCAACTTTAAGGTGGTGTTATTCATTGATGTATTTTAATAGAGTTTAAATCTAAACACAATCCATTGTTATTCAATTGATGATTCTGATTTCTATTTTAAAATCTAGTGTTATTCATCGAATGATTTAAATCCAGTATTTAAAATCTAGTGTTATTCATTGAATGATTTAAATCCAGTATTTAAAATCTAGTGTTATTCAACTTTTAATGATTTTAAAATTCTTTGTATTTTGGATTGATTTCAAATCATCTCTTGTGAATTTTTATGAACAAATGAATGAATTCAAAATCTAAGGCCTACTGCAGATATTTCAAAATTCATCAACTTAAACTTTCCTAAAATTTTAAAATTTGATAAATTATAAAACATTAATCATTGATTTGAAATCACTGATTGAATAACACCCCCTAACAATCTTAAGATTTAAAAATCTGATAGATTGTAAATATTTGAAATTGAATTTAAATCACTAATTGAATAACACTACTCAATATTTATTCTTTTGTATTTTTAATTTCAAATCACTCCCAAATCCATTCAAATCCAAATTTAAATTAAATCCTTAAACAAATCATTATTATTGAATAACACCTTATTTTAAAATCTATTTTGAAATCACAAAACCAATAACAATGAATTTAAATATGAATTTTAAAATCATAGAACCAATAACAATGAATTTGAATACGGATTTCAAAATTACAGAACCAATAACACTGAATTTAACTTGTATTTTCAAATCCATTAAAATATATAAACCAATAACACCCTCTTANATTATTGAATAACACCTTATTTTAAAATCTATTTTGAAATCACAAAACCAATAACAATGAATTTAAATATGAATTTTAAAATCATAGAACCAATAACAATGAATTTGAATACGGATTTCAAAATTACAGAACCAATAACACTGAATTTAACTTGTATTTTCAAATCCATTAAAATATATAAACCAATAACACCCTCTTAGTTAGAGTAATACTAAATACGAAGATTTTGTAACACCCGTCACCTCCTACGTGGAGGACAGCGTGTCATCCCCGACGCGTCAACAAATAATAATGTGCCACCCGTCTTCTTCTCGCTAGGACGACGGGCCACCCATAATATCTCGAAACATAAAAGCCCAAAAGCCCAACTACACTCGCCCAAGCCCAAATAAAAATCCGAATAGAAAAGCCCAATAGAACCAAGTCCGTCCAAATATCACCTTATTGCTTGTCTCACCTGAAATGGGAAGAAAGAGGGGTGAGCGACTGGGGAGTCACTCAGTGAGGTATGGGATGCTACCCCGAAGTCCGTAGACCCGGACATAGCACTCCAAATAAATATAAATTAATTCTAATGCATGTCAAACACAGTACCTAAAGTACCCAAGCAAACAAACAATGGTCCTAGCGAGTCACACACCCGCTGCCCACTAACAAGCCAAAATCACACTTCCGANGGTGAGCGACTGGGGAGTCACTCAGTGAGGTATGGGATGCTACCCCGAAGTCCGTAGACCCGGACATAGCACTCCAAATAAATATAAATTAATTCTAATGCATGTCAAACACAGTACCTAAAGTACCCAAGCAAACAAACAATGGTCCTAGCGAGTCACACACCCGCTGCCCACTAACAAGCCAAAATCACACTTCCGAGAGAGTGCTCGGTGTCACCGCCCTCAGACGCTTTATCGACTACACCAGACTACGGTCCAGCCGGTCGACTGACTGTCCGTAGCCCCTCATACAATCCGACATACAGAAGTCCGTCTCTGTATCCGGCCAAACAATTCTAACTAAAAATTACATTAAGTGAAGCAATCAATGTTGAATCCTCTAACACCCTAATTCCGGTTTAAGCAAAAAACCTAAGAACTACACAAGCAATGACAGACTCGATTTCACGCAGACGGAACACAATAGAAATAAATTATATTTATTTAAAGTTCTAAGTCGGTACGAATCGTTCGGAAGTAGATCCTCACCTTGGCAACTAGGGAAAAGTGGTATCTATGAACTCCAGCTGCTCAAATAGATCCCAAATCTGAAATCAGATCGAAATTCCGAGTCAGAATGACCTTCGAACGGTCGAAAACGGGCAATTACGGAAAAGTCAACTCGCAGGTCAAAGTCAACCCGGTCAACCCTTGACCAAAAATCAATTTGACCTAACCAATCGGTTTGACCTTAACCGATTTCGAATCCAATTGAACCAAAACCTAATCGATTTCAATCCAGTTTACTCCTAACCAAAATTCAATTGATTTTAACCACCGGTTTACCTTAACCAAATCGCAATTCAATTGAACCGGTCAAACCAGTCAAACCAACCGGTTGACCGAGTCAACCGAGTTGACTCGCTGAGTTTACTCGGCCGAGTTGACCGAGTCACCGGCGAGTCACCGGCGACGGTCACCGACGGCGACGGCGGTCCGGTGGCGGAGCTGCGGTCGTCCGGCGGCAGAGACACGGCGGTCCGGCGGTGGAGACACGGCGGTCCGGCGGCGCGTGCTCTTCACGCGCTCCCACGGTGAAACTTGGACGGGCGCGTGCGGCTTCTTCTGAGGTCGGATCGCGGCGTTTTTGGTGTCTACGGCTTCGTCTCGACGAGTAAAACATGGTGGTGGCCTTGCATGCACGAGATTCTCAACGGTTCAGAAGTTATCGACGATTTACTAAACGACTCAAAACTAACTTAAAGCCATGGCGGTTCCCGGTGGTTACCTAGGGGATGATCGGCGGTGAGGAGCTGGACACGGTCTCCTGGTGCAGAGGTAGCTCCGACGATCTCAGGTAGCCTAGTCTCCACAAATTTCCTCCACTTCTTCTCTCTTCTCTCTTTCTCTCTCTCTCTCTTGATTTGGCAAAAAAATAAACTGATGGGGTGGGAGTTGGGTATTTATAGGAGGAAGGGGTATGGAATGAGTCTTAGCCGGCTAACAAATTTTGTAATCGAAATTCGGGTCGTTACAATTCTCCCCCACTTACAAGGAATTCGTCCCGAATTCGAGTCGCTCGTTGACTGTCCGAAATCATTGTAACAAAACTCTGGATAATCAATATGCTCGGTCTCTGAGATCTTCCTCTGAACCCTATCTCTCTCAACAACTCTGACAGACACTGGCGACATTTCCTGAAATGCTTTTATCTGACGATCCACAATCCATGCTGGCTAAAAAGATGTGTCCAATCTCGCTGAAGTCATCTGGTGATTGCTGCAACATAACTCTGGCTCTGTCAAGACTATCTTTAAAATAAAAACCTGAAAAATCTGGTAACTCTGTTGATAAATTCCATCCGTAAGCAACTACTCCAACCTGCTCCACAATATAATTTGTTCCCACATATTTTGATTTACACTTCTTTAACTTTCGACTGTTATTTCCTCCTTGAAATGTCCTTATTTTCAGGTTTACTTGATCTCCTATCTGAACTCCAAGTCCTTTACAGCGCTTAAGTGCATAACTTCACTGACGATCATGGCCTTCCCAAAATCAACTTTAAGCACGTCCACTTGCTCTACCGTCTCTGGAACCATTAATAGTTTTATCACATGCTGCTCCCCCACTTTGGTTCAAAAACATAGTGTACCATAAGCTGTATCACAAAAAGATTCAAATGGTACAATCTCAATATCTTATTTATAACTGTCGCTGCAGGCAAACTCTGCTAGAGGTAAACGCTTCCATAACTTTCTTTCCACTAAAAGACACAATCTCCGAACATAACCTCAAAAATCTGAATGGTCCTCTCTAACTAATCCTCTATCTCTAGATGATAAGTAATACTCAAATAGATCTTTTCTCCAAGCGCCTTCTGAGAGACTCTCCAAAATGAAATGTGAATCTTTTGCCTGATCTGATACAATGCTCGCAAGAAGTCCATACAACATCACAATCTCCCTCTTGTGTCTGCACCGACTGACCAGCACCAACTACTTTCAGAATTATTTACAAAAGAACTGATTTAGTGAATACATCCACGATCTCTCAAATGATATCCTTTCCACATGTGATGATCGACAATCCAGTAACAACATCCATAATCTTCAGAGTTTCGTTTCCACTTTGGCAAAAGCAAATTCAGCAATAACCTGATAGGTACCCGGTCCTCAAACATATCCATTCGACCCTGCGACGCAAAGCTACAACCTTTTCAAACTAGGCCAATGAGAGTAACACTTCATATCTTGTACTCCTGGGTGTTCCTCGGGTGGACATAGAAACGCGAGTGGTGTGTTTGCTGTAAGATCCTTTTTCTTAACAGCACAAAGTCCAACACACCAACTCGATTCTTATACAGGATCATCCTGCTCCAAAACCGTATGATATACAATACTCTCAACCTCGATCCGCCTAACCAAATCCATATCACTATCTTGAGTTTGGTGTAATATCCATAGTAAATTTTTATGTTCCAATGCTCCAGTGCTCCAATGCCGACTGTATCCTCCTCTACTTAAAGCTTGTAAGCGCTCCAGTAACTCTTGATCCTCTGTGGTTCCTGACACATTCCTCATGTACATATTTAAGGCGTTTACCACTCGGTTGACCTTATCAAGTGGCATGCGATATTCAAACTGTGGGCGACTACCAACTCAATCCATTTGCACGGTCTCAAATACAAACACTAATGAGTGAACATAAATTACTCTGATGATCCCAATGAATCTGAACTTCCTTCCCACACAATGATGATCTCGAAAGCTCTAAAGCCGATACAACTGCTGCTGACTTCAAGTCGTGCACTGAATATTTGGCCTCGAAATATGCTTAACTGACCACAACATAAATCTTAATACACTTTCTGTTATGATGGTGATGTAATGGGGACAACTCAATAATTCAGACTCATTCTCTGCTCGGTAGCTTTCTCCACTGAAACTCTTAATCTGAAGTAAGCGACGACACCGCTCATGTGTGAATCTCTACTCACATTCTATCCAAAAACTTTCTGATCAGATTTCCTTCCGAATGGCACCTCTAACAAATCCTCAAGGTAAGTCTGTTAGGTCCAATGGCTTATTCGTATTTTCTCCCACCACGCTAATGCACCTCCACGTAGATATTCCATAGTCAATGTAAAAGGTAACTTTGGTGATCACTCCAAAAATCTCTAACTTCAATTCCAAAATGCTCCATATTCATAATCTACATCTGGTTCGCTGCTTATGCAATGATCTGACCTTCTTGTATTAATACAAAATCCACTTATGCTCATCTTACTTCCCCCTACTCCAACAATATTCAGGATGTTGTTGATGAATACAACCACACACTTATCCAAGTGCTCGCAAAAGAATTTATCCTTAAGTTTCATGAATGCTATCCGTGAATTCTTCAACCCAATAATATTATTTCCAACTAGTATTATCCATCTTATATGTGAAACCGTAATCTGTACATACTTCCCAGCTATAGTAATCTGATGGTACTCTGAATCCAAGGTAATCTTCAGAAATGATGAACCTTCTGTAATATCCCGCCAAATTTACTGATACTACACAGCAACACTCTTAGGTGATAACCACACAGAGACTGCAATAATCTTTTTCCAGATCAATAACAACTCTTGCTTCAGAAACCTCGTAATTATATGATGCACTCTGAGCTTACCCAATACAATCCACAAATGCTCTGCACGCTCTTCTCTGCTCCAAGAATAACTAGGATATCTTCGATGAAAACGATCACACACTTAACCAAATACTCGCAGAACACAACGATTATAAGTTTCATGAACACTACCGGTGTGTTCATCAATACAAATGTTCTTACTACAACTCATAATGCCCATAACGTGTATGGGAGGTTGTCTTCCACACATCCTCCTCCGCTATGGTGATAACCCGAAGCTAAATCAACCTTCGAAAACCATAAAACTCCTTGCAGGTACTCCAACAACTCATCAATACACGGAAGCGGATACTTATTCTTGACGTCACCTCGTTTAAACCTCTGTATCCTACACAAAGTCTGAGAATATCATCTTCCTTTTTCGCAACAACATTGGTGGTCTCCATGTCAAAAATCAAGTTTAATAAACCCTTGTCTGCTAAATCTTTTACTGTCACATCAGTTTGGTCATCTCTGCTTGCACTAATCGGTATGGAACTCGTAGATCTGGTGTTACCTCTAGTTCCAACTCAGTCATATAAACGTGTCTCTTATCTGAAGGTGACCCTTCTATATGTCTCAAATACATTCTTATATGTTGTAATAACTAGCAGTTCATGCATCTCATGTTGTCCATCATCCTTAATCATCACACAGTCTTCAAAAATCGATTGCTCTTATATCCAATAACTCCTCAACATGTAGTGTAGAAGAAATAATACTCTCATCTCTTCCAAGGGTATAAACCATTTTCCTCAGCAACTCTATACTTCTTGATATCATGACAATAATTCTATCTCAAAACTTGCAACGTAAAACTCAGCTCCATCTCTGGCGAATCTCTGAATAACGCAACCTCCAAACATAACTAGTAAAACTCGATGAACATGAATATCTCTCCACATCTTACCCAGCTGACACGTCTCTGAAGCAGTCAACAAAACCAAAAACCGGCAAACATGTCAAATGTAACTCCAATATAAACCACAACGCTAGATGCTGCACCCTAATTCCAAAAGCGATCTCCACGAGTTTACAACAAAGCATATCTCCAAAATAGTCAATATACTCATACACAAGAACAACATACGCCAACCCATGGCTCAAAACTCACATCAAATAAACTCATACATAAGAAACTCGTGGGACGACGGCTTGAAATTGGGTGATGGCAAAAACGTCACATATCCACTCCAATACAACTCAGGAGAAAGAATGAAGAAACCAATAAACCTCGGCGAACTCTGAAAAAATTGCGGCATCACATCTCTGCTGAACATCTGGTAGACCCCTGGTAGCCGAAAGACGAATGACGATGACTTTACTCATCGTCACAAAAAGAGACAATTGAATTAGTGGTTACTAGACAGATTGGTGATAGGAGAATTTTCAAAAATATTTTTTTTTTTTTTTTTTTTTGAAAACATTGAAAACCGAATCCCCTGACTGCCATCCCGGGACAGAACCGGGATGGAACCCGCTCTGATACCAAAAATTGTAACACCCGTCACCTCCTACGTGGAGGACAGCGTGTCATCCCCGACGCGTCAACAAATAATAATGTGCCACCCCTCTTCCTCTCTCTAGGACGACGGGCCACCCATAATATCTCGAAACATAAAAGCCCAAAAACCCAACTACACTCGCCCAAGCCCAAATAAAAATCCGAATAGAAAAGCCCAATAGCACCAAGTCCGTCCAAATATCACCTTATTGCCTGTCTCACCTGAAATGGGAAGAAAGAGGGGTGAGCGACTGGGGAGTCACTCAGTGAGGTATGGGATGCTACCCCGAAGTTTGTAGACCCGGACATAGCACTCCAAATAAATATAAATTAATTCTAATGCATGTCAAACACGGTACCTAAAGTACCCAAGCAAACAAACAATGGTCCTAGCGAGTCACACACCCGCTGCCCACTAACAGGCCAAAATCACACTTCCGAGAGAGTGCTCGGTGTCACCGCCCTCAGACGCTTTATCGACCACACCAGACTACGGTCCAGCCGGTCGACTGACTGTCCGTAGCCCCTCANCGGTACCTAAAGTACCCAAGCAAACAAACAATGGTCCTAGCGAGTCACACACCCGCTGCCCACTAACAGGCCAAAATCACACTTCCGAGAGAGTGCTCGGTGTCACCGCCCTCAGACGCTTTATCGACCACACCAGACTACGGTCCAGCCGGTCGACTGACTGTCCGTAGCCCCTCATACAATCCGACATACAGAAGTCTGTCTCTGTATCCGTCCAAACAATTCTAACTAAAAATTACATTAAGTGAAGCAATCAATGTTGTATCCTCTAACACCCTAATTCCGGTTTAAGCAAACAACCTAAGAACTACACAAGCAATAACAGACTCGATTTCACGCAGACGGAACAGAATAGAAATAAATTATATTTATTTAAAGTTCTAAGTCGGTATGAATCGTTCGGAAGCAGACCCTCACCTTGGCTACTAGGGAAAAGTGATATCTATGAACTTCAGCTGCTCAAATAGATCCCAAATCTGAAATCAGATCGAAATTCCGAGTTAGAATGACCTTCGAACGGTCGAAAACGGGCAATTACGGAAAAGTCAACTCGCAGGTCAAAGTCAACCCGGTCAACCCTTGACCAAAAATCAATTTGACCTAACCAATCGGTTTGACCTTAACCGATTTCGAATCCAATTGAACCAAAACCTAATCGATTTCAATCCGGTTTACTCCTAACCAAAATTCAATTGATTTTAACCACCGATTTACCTTAACCAAATCACAATTCAATTGAACCGGTCAAACCAGTCAAACCAACCGGTTGACCGAGTCAACCGAGTTGACTAGCTGAGTTGACTCGGCCGAGTTGACCGAGTCATCGGCAAGTCACCGGCGGCGACGGCGGAGCGGCGGCGGTCCGGTGGTGGAGCTGCGGTCGTCCGGCGGCGGAGACACGGCGGTCCGGCGGCGGAGACACAGCGGTCCGGCGGCAGAGACACGGCGGTCCGGCGGCGGCTCTCCGGCGGCGCGTGCTCTTCACGCGCTCCCACGGCGAAACTTGGACGGGCGTGCGGCTTCGTCTGAGGTCGGATCGCGGCGTTTTTGGTGTCTACGGTTTCGTCTCGACGAGTAGAACACGGTGGTGGCCTTGCATGCACGAGATTCTCAACGGTTCAGAAGTTATCGACGATTTACTAAACGACTCAAAACTAACTTAAAGCCATGGCGGTTCCCGGTGGTTACCTAGGGGATGATCGGCGGTGAGGAGCTGGACACGGTTTCCTGGTGCAGAGGTGGCTCTGACGATCTCAGGTAGCCTAGTCTCCACAAATTTCCTCCACTTCTTCTCTCTTCTCTCTTTCTCTCTCTTAAGCTCTCTCTCTCTCTTGATTTGGCAACAAATTAAACTGATGGGGTGGGAGTTGGGTATTTATAGGAGGAAGGAGTATGGAATGAGTCTTAGCCGGCTAACAAATTTTGTAATCGAAATTCGGGTCGTTACAGATTTTTCCTTGGTTTCGTGATAAGAGCTATTCTCTACAGAGACTGTGACAAGGGGACCCATGCGCCTGATACTCGCTCTGCTAACCACCAAAGGTTCTTTGCTACTTGGATCCGAGTTGCTCTGAGTTCCACTAGTTGCAGTAAAGAAGTGGAGATGGATCATTTCGATTCATCTAACCAACAGATTCTCACTAAACCTCCAACTCAACAGCCTTCTGCTCCATCTCCTCCATCGTCTGGCGACGAATTCTTCAGCTACTCTGATCTTGAGTGCAGTAATAAGGTGAGAAGTGGTTAACCAAATCTAAGGGTACTCAATGTGTTAGTTTGTTTTTAGCTTATTTTGACATGTTTGTTATGCTTCAGCAGAAAGAGCAGCTCGATCTTGGCAAGCTGAACTGGCTTGCAGAGATGGGTCTCTTTGGTGACCAGCCTGATAAAGAAGCTCTACCAGCAGCTGAATTTCCTGAGCTTTCGGTTTCACATCCGGCTCATGTTCATCTTACAATAAACCCATGAATTCCAATGTTTCTGTTCATACCTACAATAGACACATGAACTCCAATGTTTCCAACAAGAAGCCGAGGCTTGAGATCCGTTACGATGATGATGAAGAGCTCTTCCTAGTTGCTGACCTAGGCTTAGACTATCAAAGGAACTAGACAAGCTTATAAACAGTACATGATACAAACCAGTATTATAAGTATTTTGTATGCAGTTTCAAAAAAACTTCTCTTTTATTAGCAAATGATGTCTTGCATAACAATGTCATCAGCTTTGTTCTTGTCTTATATTTGGGGTCCCAACTAATCAACTAACCAGCTAACCAACGCAAACTCAGAACTAGACGTCTCGTTATAAGTATATACACATGCATGCATAACCTTAACTAGTTTTAAGCCAATGACGAGCACATTACATCATTGTGTTGTTGTTCAATGTAGTTTTCAACACAGATAGCAACCATTCAGTGGTACGGCATTTCATGATAAACGTTCCTCTTGTCAAAGAAGGTTCAACTAATTGACTTTTTCTCTTTCATGATTTGTATTTGTATTATGCTTTTATGTCATTTTTATTAAAAAATTTATGTATGTTTTTATTTTAAATCATTTTATTAAGAAAAAAAATTTAAGAATCTCTATGAAGTTTTCCCATTGGAGGCCAAAAATTTAATTAACACTAACTAAGGTTCTTAAACTTTCAAATCAACTTTTTAACTCTTACATTAATTTAAAGAACCTTTGAGAGACTCCCATGGATGGAGGTGTTTTTATAGCGTTATATTTCTGTTGCGTGATAGTATTTGGGGAATTGGGCTGTATAGACAGACAAAAAACCATAATTCATTTTGTAGCCAATTTCCCTAATACACAGATACACCACATGTCTTTTCTATAATATTGCCATAATACCCTTTTTTCTACCGGTGAAACTTGTAAAGAATAAAAAAATAATTAATGATTAATAATTGTAAAAGAAATATGTAGCCTTCATTACTTTCACAGATCCTCTCAGAAATATGAATAGATTTCTGACCAGATTTGTACGAGTATGCCCCAGATGTATTCATGGAGAATTTTTTTGCGGAGGAGAAACCGTTCTTAAAGATGTGGTCGGTCACGAAAGAAGACGTCAGAATAAGAGAAGCAGTGAGGTGATTTGACGGAGATCCTTCCAATATCTGTAAGTTGTGGTGCTCTGTTTGGGTTATCTTCACCGAAACTGTACGTATCTGAATTTACAGAAATTTTTTGTTGTATGTGGAAGAAGATGAACAGTTATTGTATTCTATTCTATTATATGCATATAAAATAGAAATTTAAATATCATGTTCCATTCTATTTTACTCACAAATATGTACTATTCTATCTATTTTGTTCCATTCTATTTGGGTTTAGAGTCTATACTTGGGTTTAGTAATTAGGATTTAGGGTTTAGTATTCGGAAGGTGGGGTTGAGGATTGGGTTTAGTGACCCTATCATGTATCGTTTCATTTGATGATTAATAAATAGTGTTCTATTTTGCTCAGCAATATGTACTATTCTATCTATTTTGTTCCATTATATTTGGATTTAGGGTCTATATTTGGGTTTAGGGTTTAGTGATTAGGATTTAGGGCTTTTTTGCTTTTTTGTCAAGCCCTAAATCAGTGAATTATGTACTATGTTATGTCATTGTGTTTCTTTCTATTTTGGTTTACATTTCATGATTGGTGTTAGGGTTTATATTTGAGTTTAGGGGTTATATTTGGTTTATGGTTTACTGATTAAACTTTAGGGTTTAATATTTAGCGGGTGAGGTGAGATTAACATTAACTTCTTAAATACAATCACAAATATTTGATAATACAACAACTAAGTACTATGATATTGAGGTTGTTCCATTTCATGTGGTATAGAGTTTATATATGGGTTTAGGGTTTATATTTGGATTTATGGTTTATATTTTGGTTTAGGGTTTACTGATTACAGATTAAGGTTTAATATTTAGGGGTTGTGGCGGTATCAACATTAACTTTTTAGATGCATATGTTATTGTTCATGTTCTTATTCTGTCAACGGTTTGACATTTGGGTGTAACATTCGTGCCTTCCATTTAAAATGGAATAGTAGTAGATGCAGTCATTCCATACTAGGTTAAATGGACCGGACATGACAATTTCGTATCTCAGTTTACATTGAGTTGCATACATTCTTATTCATGGTCATATTCTTCCATACAATTGACATTTTGTTTAATATACGTGATAAAGAACAACGACGTTTCTTATCTATATACTGTTTGGTCGATTGCATACCTAGTGCATTACATTGTTGATGAGGTTTCCACTAAGGCGTACAATGCTCTGAATCCATTCCATTCCATGTTTTCTATTCTATTTTATATTATTCACATAGAATAGAAATGAAACGTTATGTGTACTATATTGTTATTATTTCATAGGTAATACTGCCATCACCACCACTACCAGTGATTATTTCATTGCCATCACAAGCTTCTCTCCATCACCACTGCTTCCCATGGTTCCTCACCTTCTCCTTGTTTTTCTTTCTACACTACTCCATCAGCTCCATCTATAGTCATTTTATTTGTAATTTATTATTTATTTTGTTCTATTCTATTTGGGGCACTCGAATAGAAATGTATTTTATAATAAATAAACATTTGTTATATATTCTTATGATCTTTCTACGAATTAACTGTTTGTACTTGTACTTATTAATCAACCCCCATTAGTTTGGAAATGACAATAATGACGCAATGTATATATAAGTTGAATATATCATGTATACGTAAAATGGAAAGACCATTCATGTAAAATGGAATGTTTGATCTTTACTATTTATTGTATACTATTCTATTTGCAGAATATAGAATAGAAATATGATTGTACAATCCATAAGCATAAATTATGTTTGTTGTTTTTATCATTGTTATGAATCTTAATTTATGTGTATTGATCAAAACTAAACACTATAAACCCTAGTTATAAGGTATGAGCTTCCATACTAGTCTTTTTTCCAACATGTACTATGCTATTTATATAGTTCCATTCTGTTTAGGTTGAGGGTTTATGGGTTTAAGATTTATATTTGAATTTAGGGTTTAGTGATTATGGTTTATATTTGGGTTTAAAATTTATATTTGGGTTATGGATTTGTGATTAACATTTAGGGTTTAGTATTTAGAAAGGGAAGGGGATAATTGGAGTTAGGGTTTAGTGATTAGAATATAGGGTTTAGATTTACTAAATAGAGATTTGGGTATATTATTTAGGTGTTGTGGTTGGTTTTATATATCTAGTTCTCAATAACGGTTTGAGTGAGGTATTATGTCACATAAATAAAATAGTATATGTGCAACCTAGATAGAATAGTTTGTTTATCACCTTTTCTGTTCCATATGCTCATACAGAATGAAAAACACATTATATATGTTGAATAAATTTCTTCCACGCGTTTTGTGAATTATGTGATTGCAATATACCACAGAAAATGAACACGTCTTTTGTTTTATTATATGCAACTGGTAACCTTTTTCTTACAGGGACATAACCGGATAAATAGAGGACAAAAAGTCTGACAATACATTATGTCAAAATCATGTCTACTTATTTAATTTACCACTCAAACATAGCTATATGGCTAATAAGCCCATAGTATTTTATAGCGTTTGATCAGTGCTATGATGTATTTTTTCTTAACTTTTTTATAGTGGTATAAAATATTCTATATTAACATATATATCGTGCTATTTTCACGATATACATGATATGGGATATGAATTACATGGTACCTTATTTTTATAATTAGCTATTAATCAATATTATAAAAATCAAATAAAAATAAATTTATAATTGAAATTTCAAATTTTATTTGTTAATTAATATTGGCTTACAATCTTTTATCCGTTTACAAATTAAACCATAGAAACATTAAACCAAAAACACATTAAACCAAACCTAATTAATCAATAATTAAAACCTAAGGCTCCTAAACCTCCGGTGCGTCTTCTCTGCCTCATCTGCTGGCGACCGCCAGTGAGGCCTCTGCTCATGATTAAGATTTATAATCAGTACTTATAAGTTTAGTTTTAAAAATCAATTAATTAAAGTTATAATTGTTGACTATTAGTTTATATAGTTGTGATTAAGCTTAAAGTATACTAGATCTTGACCCGTGTGAACGCTCGGATATTAATTTGCACTTTTAAAATATTTTCTTTTTATTTTTTATAAATTATGTAATTTGAATTTATAGTTTGGTGCACAAAAAAAACTTATAGTTTATACATAACATAATTTTTTAGTATAATAATTTTAAACATAGAAATTCTATTACATTAAATAGTTATAGTTTATTTTGTAATAGTCAATTGTATCATCTATATTTCATATAAATTTATTGTATTCAATTTCAGTTGACTTTTATTTATATGAAACTAACGGAACAATTTATATATTATATAAATGATTATTTTATGTGGTTTTTACTTTTTCGTTATTACTAATAAATATGAAAAATATAACTATAAATTTAAAAACAATATTGTGTTCTAAATTTAGTACACAAATATCTAAATGTTTATGTGGCGTGTACATTTTATTTTATGTTTATGTAAATTTATAATCATTTTACGTTTTAAATTATATCATCTTTTATCATGTTTATTAATTTATAACATACCCATTCTAAATCAATTATATAAATGCATCTTGGGTTTTATATAAGTCTATTTGACTACATCCAGTAAATACATAACAAATTCAAAAAAATAAATATCTAAAATAATACTCAAAGTACTAAAAAAAAATATTTAAAATATTTATTGATTCTCCATCTAAATATTCAAGCCAACCAAATTTTATGGTAAGTTCAAGTATTTTGACATATAGTGTTCAAATTTATATGTTATATAGTATTTTATTTTTAGATTTTGTGAAATGTGAAGTTTAATGAATTTTAAAATTCTAAACTTATTTTAATGGGTTATCCACCAAACTTGGGACAAAATT